AAGCCACCATGTGTCAAAGCCCATTTTAAGTCCGTACCTTAATACTCAGGTAGTTGTCACAACTCCTGGACTTTGCTCTGGAGTGCATTTTGCCAAGTGACTGCATTTAGGCACCCGATCAGAATCCCAGCCAGCTCTTTGACGACAAAAGAAATGGTGTCAAATCCAAGCTGTACAATCCAGTGTATCATCAGCCTTGTGCTGCCCTCTCACCAGGTCCATTTCCAGCTCTTGTGCTTTGTGGCAGCTGGAGCTGAATAAACTCCTGCTGGGGCGTGAGAGAGGCAGTGCATTGGAGTCCCCGTCACTCACACGCACACACACACACACGCCCTCCTCCTACCCAGAATAACCCCCTCCACTCCCAGCCCTGCCTCTCTATGCTGAAGGCCTCAGCTGGATCAATGCATACTGCTGCAACTGACTCATCATTGCAAAAATACACATCCACTACCTGGTCCACACACACCAGGCCGTAGCTTCAAACTCTCCACCCAGCAGGGGTCAGACTCTGCCTAACACCTCTCTGGCCCACTGACCCCTTGCACCCTTACCTCCAACAAGCAACTCCCCACACCCCTCCTGGCCACAATGGGCTCTCTTTTGTGACCACAATACAAATGGACTAGGGTTTCAGCTTATTCTGCTGCTTTTCAAATGAGGGGGGAAAAAAAAGAAAAGAAGACATCAGCACAGGATTGGTGGTTCAGGTCACTGGCGACAATAGCATTCCCCTTCAGTTTTGTCAGGGGGGAAAACCCAATAATTGAACTCACTGTCCTGACCCTGTGACATATGAGGGGCATACTTCTGTGGAGGGAGATAAATATGACATCTTTGATTAATTACGCATCAGCCGTCTGCAGCCAAATTAATTAAGCAATGCAGTCAATAAATGACAGAGATGGGCACTTTAATCTAGTTGACGGTCTGTTTTCCATCCGCAACCTGGGTACCCTTCCGTCGTCGTCCCTCCGTCCTTAATCATATAATAATCCTCCTCTGTACAACTTGATTATTCTTGTGTAAAGCTATCACTACCAAAACAAAAAAAAAACCTCTTCAAATACCGTATTTTCCGGACTATAAGTCGCAGTTATCTTCATCGTTTGGCTGGGGGTGCGGCTTATACTCTGGAGCGATTTATGGGTGAAATTATGAGCACATTATTGTATCATTTCACGTGTTATTTTCACATTGAACCGCAAGAGGCCGCTCTAGACCTGTGTTGATAAAACCACGATGAGTCTGACGTACGCGACGTAGAAGAGGAAGGCGCTGCATCTTCTACCTCCGGAGTTGGTGGAGTTGTTTTAAAGTGACACAGGGGATAAAGATTTCATTGGATTAAGTGATTTGGAGTGACATTGATGCTTTGGTGAACTTGTTAGCATGTTCTTTATGCTATAGTTATTTGAATAACTCTTAATATGTTACTTGAACATACCAGGCACGTTCTCAGTTCGTCGTTTATGCGTCATGTAACGTTAGCATATCGTACACTTATTCAGCGTGTTGGTTTCTATTTTATTTTTATTTTAAATTGCCTTTCAAGATGGCATGTATGTTCTTGGTGTTGGATTTTATCAAATAAATTTCCCCCCCAAAATGCGATTTATACTCCAGTGCGACTTATTTATGTTTTTTTCTTCTTTATTATGCATTTTATGGTTGGTGCGACCAATACTCCGGAACGACGTATAATCCGGAAACTACGGTACTCAGTAAGCAATGGCGTTGAAATACAGTGTAAAAAATAAATAAATAATAAATCACATTAAGCTGTGTTGCTTGGACAAAGAAGGTAGTGAGGATAAGTAATCAAATGGATTTATATTTAGAGAGAGGCCCTGCTTCCTGCGGGGGGCCTTGTTAAAGCGAGACACACAATAACTTCGACAACGGCACACTGTCTCCTTCTGTGGTAACATAGCGCGCATTGCATCACGCAAACATACGTTTAAACCTCCATCGTAGGAAGGTATAAATAAGTCTTGTTATAGTGAGTTTAGTCTCGTGTAAATGGTTGCTGTATAATCCACCGTATAAACAGAAGGAAACATACCTCGCATACACATTCTACAAATACACACTCCTCCTCTGACACAGTCAACCTGTAATTTGTACTCGCCGGCCCATTTGCAGTGGCTACGCTGTCAGCAAGGGCGGGCTTTTCCACTTTCATCCACCGCTCGTTTTCTCTTTAGCCTCCTTTTTAAATCCGCACTTATCTAATTATGTTGGAATTGCTGCACATGCGCAGCAAAAGAAAAAAAAAAAGGGAGGAGGAGGAGGAGGAGGAGTTCAAGTGGAAGTCAGCGTGCATTCTCGGTTGGGGCCCGAGCGAGAGATGCAATCATGTCGCATCAAGGATGCCCTCGGTGGTTGCGTTGAGTCCCAAGGTATAATTTTGTGCAAGCAAGCGAAAATGCAGGCGTGTCTGCATGGCCGCGTGGTGAGAAGTTACGTGTGTGACATTCTTCAGCAGCTCGTCTGGAAACATATAAAATAAAAAATAAAAACAAGTGAAAGATGTCACCTCTATTGCAGGGAAGGAGCCCGAGCTGGTGTGCGAGGCAGAGAGGTTCCAACTGGGCATAGTTGGACTTGCCTCCACACACAACCTGGGCTCTGGTACCAGTTCTCTCAAGAGGGGATTGGACTCTTCCACTCCGGAGTTGCCCACAGTGAGAGGCGCAAATTTGCACATTTGTAAGTTCCCATTCATGAAAACTGGCGACTTAATATCTATATACTGTAGTCTCTCTCTCTCTCTCTCTCTCTCTCTCTCTCTCTCTCTCTCTCTCTCTCTCTCTCTCTCATATAAGTTGCCAAAACTGAAGCACTCTGCATTATAGCATGCAGTAAATATGCAGTCTTCTTTGTGGCCATAAAAGTTTTTTTTGTTTTTTTTGTCTTTTGTCCCTTTGACTCTTGTCTCTATGTATCCACTGGTGACTTAAAGCTGCATTTAAATTCAGGGAGATTTATCACTCCCAAAATAAAAGTTTCTGTCGGCCGTGGCGCTGGACACCATAATTACCAATATGTTTTGATTCAAAGACGACAGCCCGTTGAAGATCGGCTCTCTGTTAATATTGTTTGTGCAACTACAGAAATGAAACTTTTCCTGTTGTTTTTCCAAAGCAGGGCCACATGATGTAAAAATAGCCACATTTACGCACGCTTCTGGTAAGGACGATTTATGTGATGTGAAGAAGCGATATTACCCTCTCCTGGGTGGCATGCCATCTGATAAAACTATCATGGGAACATATCAGCCAGATGTCAAAAGAGCAGCAGTTGCATCGTTTTTCATGCTCATATCTTACCCGACAAACACACACTGATTGAGCAAAGTAGCTACTTGGGGTTAAAGATCTGTCAGTGTTGCTCCTACTTGTGAACGAGCTCCAAGATAATCACATCCCACTGTCATTCAAACAGCAAAAAGTTGCTACATTCGCTTGCTTCAGTCAACTGTGATACAGTTGATACGAACACATTGTTCCATTCATAACTATCAAATTATCTTTGTAAAGCTAGCCATTTTATTGGATCACTTTCGACAATTTACTTCTCAGTGCCCCGAGAAAGAAACGGCCTGGATGAATGAGAATATTCACAGGCATCTCACGGAGACAGCTTAATAAAAAAAATAAATAAATAAATTTTTTAAAAAAAAATGAAGGATGCCTGGTGGAACATATTGCAGTAGTTTAAAAACAAGACCAAGAAATTAGTAATGAGTGAAACGTTGCACTCTTAGTTCAAAATGGGTGGGTGGTCATTTGCAATTAAGCATTACACGCGCGCAGACACACACACACACACACACACACACACACACACACACACACCAAACCGTGGAATGTGACACCTTGGTCCTATCTCACTTCGAACCGACCTCATAGCGGCACACAGGCCACCCATCAACAGTAGTCATGAAAACATCATCTTCTCTTGCAAGGAGCTCTCACTCCAGCACTCGCTTTCTTAATCACATCACAGGCAAAAAAAAAAAAAAAAAAAAACACACTTTATACGGCATTCCAAAGTGCCTAGCCACTCCACTTTCTATGACCAAGAAGTAAAAATGAACAGAACCATACAAGCTATATATCTCTGTAGCTCTACTTACAGATCACATTTTTTTTTTTTTTTTGGAGTCTCTGACAGCATCATTCATCGCTGCCTTCCACCCATCCGTGAGATCTCATATTCCATCACTGCGTAGACGTACACCCTCTCATCGTCTGCAGCTTCTGCGCTGGCCTCCTAACTACCACTCGCTTTAACATCCTCTGTGAACTGTTCCTCCTCTATTACGAGCAATGATGTCACCACGCAAATGCAAACAGCTACGCAAACACACGTGCACCCATTCAGCTCCGGCACACATGTGAGGATACTTTGAATCAAAATTCGGGGGTCTCTCGCGGCAATGATTGGGACGCAGCTGTCGCGTGAATAACCCTGAGATCATGTTGAAGAGGGAGGAGGATGCCACCTGTCACTGACCCCCACCATCCCCATAATGTACCTTAGCCCCCCACCCCGCTGTGCTGATGTCTCACCCCAACACAAAAGCCGGTGTTTTCTCTGAGCACGCGAGCACAGGTGGCCAGGTCGAGTTACAGAGGCGGCTCCCACACTCTTCGAAGTGCAAACTCGGGCTGACAAGAGTTCATATGCAGTTGACATGTGTAACTAGGGAGTTCCTCATCAACTATTCAACACAGACAGTGTTCACACTTGGAAAACGGCTTCAATATTTCGTGCAATAGTTGAGCGTCCTTGCGTAGACTTGCCTGAATGCGCCTGCTTGAATTAACAAGAATTTAGGATCACAACTAACAGAGTGACAGACTTCCTGCTGCTTATCCCTTAAGGGGTGCTGTGAAGTCGAAATGCGTTGCTTTTATCCCCCTTTGTAAAAACCAGCGTCACCAAATCTGTAAACAATGACTCATGTGACAGGTCATTAGAATGCAGAACAGTCAGGAATGGTTGACCGTTTTTGTTCTACGAATCCACATCACATCACAAACAATTTAAAACACAAAACAGGCTTGCATCCTATCTTTACCTCCAGGAATGAAAGTGATCTTCTCGATTACTAATTATACAGACAGAATGGAAACAAAGCAGCAGTCGGGGAAGTCACAGTTTTGAGGAGAAGCACTCACCTTCCGGCCGCAGTGCAGTTCTGCAGCCTTAGCGTCGGACTTTCTGGGCTGTGCGAGGCTGACGGCTGTCGAACCGGCGGAGAAGACCTGGCCCCGAGTCCTGCAGCAACCTGACGTGTTCCATCAAAGACACTGCCGAGAATGGCCTGAAAACAATCGCAAAATTAGGGCAAGCCAGACATAAAAAGTGACTCCCAGCCCCCTCGCCGCTGCCGCCGCCGCCACCACCACCACATACCCCCACCCCCTCCAGGCATCCCAATTCCTCGTTGGGGCGTAACCCAGTCGTTTTATCTGCGCCCATCTCCTCCTGCGTGTACCGTGTGATTGGAGGCCAAGAGTGGTGCAGCTCAACTGGGCTGCCGTGTCAACAAGCTGAACGTCAAACTATATTGTATGGAGGGTAATGCAATGGTCTTGTGTAAATAGAGATTCCATCATATCTATGCATTTGCCATTCACGGGTGCCATTTTGAAATCCGCAGAGAACAGAAAGGCCAAACGTTGCAATAAATGTACAAAAGGTTTGCCACTGAACATCTCGCACACACGCAGCAGCTGACAAAAGTGCAGTTCTTTTTGATGCCCGCATTGTTCTTCTAGAGCCGCTCGGCAAACAACTCCAGGTGTGCATTCCACAGCAGTAAGGAAAGGTGTGAGCCACTCCTGAATCAATAAAAATTGCTGACGTCTCGCTCCCTCCGTGTTAAAGCACTTGCATACCTGAGCTGACGGAAAGAAGTGCTTAAGGAGGGTTCAGCGGCACTTGCTCAACTCGCCACAGGACGGTTCGGCTCAATGGACCAATGGACTGTATTGAGGGGTGCAAATAGCTAAGTCAGCTAAAGTAACTCGGGTGACATCATCACATTGCTGGCCAACACAGTACAATGCTGTGTACTGACATGGTCAGGATACACGCATCAAGAATGTCGTTTTCTTTTTTTCTTTTTCTTTTCTTATGACTGTAATCCACTCTTGTCATGCCATTATAATACTCAAATGACAATTTTTTTCTACCCCACTACAGCGTAGTCCGCCATGATAACTGACACTAGTACGGCAATAAACGTGCTGAAAAGTGGAACGTGGCATGAAAACATTTTGGGATTGTTTACAATCAAAATTCCAGCTGAATGAGCATCATACCAAACTGATCCAATCTCTACACCTATTTGGTTGAAACAGGAAACTATTAGGGTTACGTTTAGACAACAACCTAAAAAAAAAAAAAAGAATGGAAATATTTTTCCTATCCGATTTGTCAAAGTTTTTTATACACATGCCATTGCCAAAAAGAAAAGCGCACACAGACTTGCACAAAATTGCAGCTCTACACCCACCAGCCCAGTTGTTGGCGATCTCATGAAACGCATGCACAGCAACAACACTTTTCGACAGCACTTGTACAAACCCTATTTTTCAGAATATAAGTCAATTTTTATCATTGTTTCGCTGGTTCTGAGATGAGTACTCAGCTGCAAGTTTTATTTATTAAAATTAGAGCTCAGACTGGCACCCAAAATTCCTGCTCCCTAATCCTGTTGATGGTAGCGAACGAGTTCTGCTTGAAACGTATGCTTCAAACTTTTTTCTTTTTAGTTGAAAATGGCTTACCTTAAATACAATCCTATGTCGCATTGTGGCCAAAGGTAGAATCCTGGTCGGTTATTGCACCTTTTGGTGCTGTAAATAGTAAAACTTTGTTGTGGCGGAAGCCGTATGCTAACCTAACTATACTCATACATCACACATTAATTGCCGTGACGATGTCTTCGTCTGCCTCTTCTTCTGTTTCTTCTTCTAGTTTCTTTTGGCGGTTGTCAAATTCTTATGAAAAAAAAAATCAGATTTATACTCTGGAACAATTTTTATGTTTTGTTTTGGGGGGGTTTTCAGTGTCATGATGCATTTTGTGACTGCGGCGAATTATCATCCAGAGCAACTGTTCACCTGTATAGCCACCTGTTGCCATTCACACAACAGAATCAGTGATGGCTTCCTGCTGTTAGCTCAGCTGTGCTCAGGCCCAGACTTTACGAACTGTGTGCGTAAATTCACATGACATCCTCTTTATTTACCTCTAACTTTTGTAACATTATCGTTAAATGTTGTTTAAAGAGCTGCCAAAGCATATAGTTTGATTATGTGCCCGTGATCATTTTTGTTGTTGTTGTTGTAAAATGGGCTTCTTGGCGCAATAAAGTTCGGAAAACATCTCTCAGAGGGAACCATGACACCGTCATCGCTTCCATCTAAACATGAAAATGGTCATTTGTGATATAAGCAACAAAGCCAATGCTCGTCTAGTCATGTAACATCGTTTGTGCTTTTAACATTTCATGAGAAAAACGGCCAATCATTCCACCGCTACTGCGATTCACGTCACAAATACAGCACATGTCGAATTCTATCCCCATATGAAAGATATGCTGCGTATTCAAAACACAGTTTTGCATAAGACATAGCCTAGCATCGACAGGTTTCAGGCATTTTTGCAAGGTTGGATGAAAATGTGTACATTTTTGTAAAAAAAAGGGGAAAAAAACTTTCTTAGTTATTTATTTCCCACATTTTCAAATTTTGCATTTTCAGGATTTCAAATGCTGTTTAAAGAGCTGCCTTTATCACAATTTTATCTTTCAAACTATGTCATCCAACAACCCCCATTTCCCTCTGTAGGACAGATTTCAAGCAAAGACTCCCAGCAAGCAGTAAAAACTTTACCTCACACAGCTCTGTCAAGTTTGCAGTAGGCGGAGCGCCGTAAACCAGCCGTGCATATGAGATGAAGGGAGGAAGAGCTAGACGTCTCATCTTTGGTCTGGACCATACACCTGGTCTACTGTGGGTCTTTAATCTTGGTGGGAAGGAGCAGAAATTAGAGGCTCCACACCCGCATCCCTCACGCTGGACCGAGTTACCACGCTGGCATTTAAACATTCACCACACATGAATCACTGGCAGGCTCAAGTCGAGGCGCTGCGATACAAGAAGAGGGGGCTCCGAATTCCAACAGTGTAATAAAAGGATCTTGGAATGGTTTCGTGTTTTTTAGCCTCTCGCACCTGCTGTGCTCATCTTGAATCCAAGTTGATTAAATTAGCATATGATAAGGGAGGGATTCTGTCGGGGCCGTTTTTGTTGTTTTGATTTGTATTTGGTTTCATCTCGTGGTGTGTTTTCTTGAGGCACACCCGAAAACGCTGAATGTGCATGTAAAAAAAAAAAAAAAAAAAGCTCAACGTGGCTTAAAGTCAGAAAATGACAACCAACCAATCGCCACCATATTTCACATGCACACCACTACGTACGTCCACTTCAACCTCTGAAAATATTGTAAGCTTATATTATTAATTTATCATTTTATGTTTGAGCATCATATTATTTCATGTTAAGATTATTTAAATTGCATTCTGATGTTTAATAATTGCTTAGACATGTTTTTATGTTGATAGATTCTGATTGGCTGTTGAAGTAAGGGAAAGCAGGAAGTGATTTTAGTTGCGAAAAGTGTGTTCTGGATCATGCCGCGGTGCGGACGTCCTTTTCTTATTTTCCTTTAAATAAAACTGCATTCAAAGGATTCCATCTCTCCTTTTGCCGTTCGTAAAGTAGGGCCATCCATTAAGAAAAACAATGAACCTCTCAACTTACAATATCAAAGCAACCACCACCTTATTCTTGATTTTGTGGCTTCGTGTTCGAAAACTACAAACAAGTGCCACCCAAATTAAAGTGCAAATCTCTGAAAATATCAAAACAGTCCCCTCAATAGTTCGCACTTTGAGGACGTGAAGCGTTTTTCTCATGAAGAGACATTATGCTTGACTGTGCACCGCTTTTTTTCTCTATAGTGAATGAATCTCTGTGGCACAGGTGTCAAACTCAAAGCCCGGGGGCCAGATCTAGCCCGCCACGTCATTCTGTGTGGCCCGCGAAAGCAAACCGTGTGTGTCAACTTCAATGATCCTTGCTAAAATCTGTACCGAAATATCAAATTGTCATGTGCAAAAATGTTGCGATTTCGCAAGAAATTTGTTACCCTATTTACACTCACTTGAACAATAATTGAACAAACAATAAATAGTTGACGAGTAAATCCATCGATTTGTTGTGTACAAGTAATTATACGATTTGATGATTAAACATTTATTCAGTTTCAGTGTCGTAACTGCCCTCCGAGGGAAGACGTAACTCCAAAAGGGCCGGCGACAAAAATGAGTTTGACAGCCCTGCTCTGTGGGGGAGGAAAAAGCTTTATGTCCATAAAATCCAAAATGTAACTCCAAAGGGGCCGGTGACAAAAATGAGTTTGACACCCCTGCTCTGTGGGGAGGAAAAAGCTTTATGTCCATAAAATCCAAAATACTCTGACGATTGTTTTGATAGTTTCTGAGGTTGAAGTGGGGAGAAATCGAGATGTGCATGTGAATTTTGTTGACGATTGGTCATAGCTTGCTGACATGAAGCCACGTTAAGCTTTTTTACATGAAGTGTTTTTAGACAGTCACACGTGACATGTCCTGGTTTCGCTTTGTCGTGGTTAAATTTGCTTGCTGTGTATCTGTCAGTCAGGTTTGGTTCGTTTTTCCCAGATTTGGTTTGTTATTTTGTGTCTCATTTTTGGACGTCTATTAATTGAGTATGTTTTGATACTTTGTTCCTTGTTTGCCCTTTGCTTCCTTTGTATCAAAGTTTTTGTGAGCTCTCCTGCCTTCCCTCCCTGAATTCCAAAATATAACACTCTTCCATTATTAACTATACTTGATACAGGCAAAAAAAAAAAAAAAAAAGTCAACCAGAGAGAAAAAGGGGGGAAGGGCTGTAGGGATTGGTGGGGAGAAAGATAGGGAGGGCGAGGTGTTTCCTGTTTCCACTGCTCTAATTACACCACTCCCATGGGGGCAGGGCCCGTCACTTAGAGGAAATTTGTCACCGAGGATCTCAATCCAAAAATGTCCCGTTTTGCACATGTCCATCGGCGCTACATTGCACACAATCCACACATGCGAAAGACTGATATTAAATCTTCAGCATGACGCGATGTCACCATTTTGAGGGTTGAAATCAGATTGCAAACTCCAGATGTACATGGTTCGTCCTTATGAACAAAAATGTTTCTCAATGCAGTGATTTGAGCCACCGGCGTGCTGTAAACACCTCACATTGGATGCATCACGCACACCGTCAGCACATCACTGCAATTGTGAGGGCCTGTTTTTGTTTTGCTTAAAACCGGCCCCGTGCCGCATTTGCTTTTCAGTCGTTGTCACAGTCATAATCGCATCCTGTTTGAAGATGCCGACAAGATAAATGAGTGAAATGATGTGGCGTCTGTCCAATTGAGGCTGAGGGC